CCTGAAGATCTTCCCCGACGCCTAGAATTCTGCCGAATAATACTTAACCATCACCAACATAATGTGGAATTTATTAGCTCCATTTTATTTACCGATGAAGCCACCTTTACACGAGATGGTTTACTGAACTTGCACAATGCACATGCATGGTCAGACGAAAATCCTCATGCTACCATTGATAGTCATCACCAACACCGATTCTCAGTCAACGTATGGGCTGGAATAATAGGTGACTATTTGCTCGGGCCTTTCTTTCTACCTCAAAGGCTTGATGCAGTAGAATATTTAAACTTCCTAGAAAACCATCTCCCTGAGTTAATGGAAAATGTTCCTTTAAATTTGAGACAATACATGTGGTACCTCCATGACGGGGCACCTGCGCATTTCAGTGTTCATGTTAGAGAGTATCTACATATGCGGTTTCCTAATCGATGGATTGGAAGAGGATATAATGCACCAATAGCCTGGCCACCGCGATCACCGGACTTGAATCCTGTCGATTTTTATCTTTGGGGACACGCGAAATCTCAAGTTTATGCAACCCCTGTTGATACAGAAGATCAACTTAGACTGCGAATTGTAGAAACCTTTAATTTAATAAGAAATAGTCTATTCATATTCCAAAGAGTCAGATTTAACTTTATAAAGAGACTGACAGCATGTATCGATGCAGAAGGAGGTCAATTTCAACATTTATTATAATAACATATTTTGTTTTAGTTCTGTTTTGGTTACTTAATTAAAAAAATTATTTTGGAAATTGATTGTATTCTTAAAAATTCACTAGGCTTAAGAAATGTATGTAAATAATTCGGAAGCACTCATCTCTCTGCATTTTGTAAATTTACTAGAAAACTAAACATTTTACATAAAAAACACAAGAGACAAAAAAATTTCTAAATTTAATGGTCTTTCTAAAAATCTTATGATACTTGCTGTACCTTTGCAGAAAAATTTTTTTTAGCAAAAAATAGGATACAGGGTGATAAAAAAACACCCTTCTGCTTTCTCGATTTTATTCATATCCGCATTATTTATTGATTTCCTAAAGCTGATTAGCCCCTGAAAATTTCATTAAGTTTTCTTTTTCCAACAAAGAGTTACGTCATAAAAACTACTTTTATAGTTGCACCTTTGAAGGTCTGTAACTTCAAAATGGTGCGTTTAAGAGTTTATGTTTATTAGAGTTTTTAGTCATATTTTTTTATGTATTATCACCACCTAAAGTTTGTAACATACTTTACGGGACACCCTGTATATCACCTAAGTCCGCAGTAGTCTTAGCGCAGATAAATTGCTTTTTATTACCTTTATCTCTTCCAAACTATGTGCTTTCAATGAAGTGGCTCTGAGAAACAGTGCCTAATATTATTCGACCTAATATTCAAATAAAGTAACCGAATATTCGGTACTCCGCAAAATACCGAATATGCTACTCGTTACAATTTTTCTTGTTTCCTTTCAGGTATCGGAAGTCGGAGATGGTTTGCCACTGTCATTCTCCAGTATTCTTATGCTTGTTCTCATTAGTATTTGCACTCTATTAATAGTATATGAGTACTGGTTCCGAAACCTTCGATATGTCAAGTTGGGGAACAAAATGCCGGGACCCAGAACTATTCCACTTCTTGGAAATGCTTATTTAGCTATAGGGCAGTCTCCCAGTGGTAAGTTATCATGCTTTCTAAATGATTACAACAAGTACAATTTAAATAATATTCAATTTCAGAAATTCTGCAATTAGGAATGAAGATGTACAACGATCTTAACGCCGAAGTAATACGATTATGGTTGGGTCCCAAACTGATCGTAGGTTTAATGAATGCACAGGATATAGAGGTAATACTTTAGAATTGCCTTGGGTAAGAGAATATATTTTTATTTGCCTTATGATTTGTGATTGTGACAAAACAGTTTTCGCCCAATCGTGAAGGCGTAATTATAGCTAGTCCAAATAAATCAGCAACAACTTAAAAATTCAAACGTACGTAAGTAAGAGTCAATGATACTGAGGAAAAAATGTTTGCAACTACCGATACTATGACGTGAAAAAACTATTTAGTACACGATCTTGAAAACGTATGTTTTGAGAACTCGCAAAATTATAATTTTTTTGCACCAGGCAGAAAAATAATAATGAATAGTAACTTACATTAGTAGACCTGAAAGAGTAGCTAAAATAAATTATTTTGTTATATTAAATTAAATATAGAAGTGTGAAAGTTAGATATTTAAAGATATCTCTGAAATACTGGAAATTGTCACACTTTTGTTGTTGTGCTAATAGAACTTGTTTGTATTACATTTTCTTTGAAGCATTCTTCTTGGATTTTGTTGGAGGTATCAACTTCACCTGATCTTCTAAACCAAAATAAGACATGACTTTGTTAGAAGCTTTTCCCACAGATTGTATTTCTACAATTTGAGTTGAACATTTTCTCAAGTTATAAAATATAAGATCAGTCTACGGTTGGTGATAATATGGCCTTAGTTCTAAATAATTGTTATAAAGTTGCAACTCTCTTTTCTGAATTTACAATAAACGATTCGATAGTATTCTTTTTGGTACTTCTAGTTTCTACCAGTTAAAGATGTCAATAAAGTAAATATATTTACAAAATTTAGTTTTTCGACTTTTTTTACGACATTTTCTGAAGCAACCGCAACCGCAACCGTAGATATGAGAAAAAAAAATTATATAAAAAGTGAACTTGATTTGGTGTCCTCTACACGCACCTGTTATATGTCCATTGAGTTGTGAATCACTCTGTATTATTCACGTTTTTTCTCAACGTCTCGTACTCCTTTTTGTATCAATCTTTTGATTTTTCCGGCAAAATATCGTATGTCGCCTACGTGGTTACTTCCAAAATTTCTGGAAGTATATTTCCAGTTTCTAAAACCGCAAAATCTATGTCCTTACTTTCGCATTATCCATTACTTGACCTAAATAATAATAACATAACCTCGTTTCCGTAGTAACGATAACAAGTCAGCATTTTTATTTTGCAAGAATACTACCAAATTGTATATTTTCTGGTTTGTTCTAAAAAAAAACAAAGCATCACGAACAAAATATCATTGAAAAATCAATTAGAGAGGCTGAATTATTTATTAAAATGTGTCATCTTAAAAGTTTGCAATGACATCACTTTAGCAATGAAGTGCAGCCATGGAATAATCCTAATATCGCTGTTCTCTATCGCATTAACTCTCTACAAACTAAAAAATGTTATTGTTTTAAATTTACTAACTTTGCGACATTGACAAGATAACGTGGATTATAAAAATAATGATTAAAAATGAACTGAATCAAAATGATTAAAATTAATCGATCGGCAGTTGGCAGACATGTCAAATGTTGACGTTTTGGTTACTTTCGATGGCAGCTCCGTGATAATTTTGTGTATTGGAATCGATTGAAAGCATATAAAAAGTTCTTTTTCGAACTAATAACACAGTCCACAAAAAAATATATCAAGACCCAGAGGGTTGACCCTCCCCCACCCCTCCGTTTTTGGGGACGCTGAAACTGAATATGACCATAAATAAATTTAACTAGCCATTTCCCCGTCCCATACACCCCCCTTCTGGGAATTGAGATGTCAGCATTCCAACCCACATACACGCCGTTATGAGGGTTGGAATGGCAATTTTCATACAAAGTCAAGAAAACGTTGGCATACACAACCCACTCGACTTTGTATGAAAATTGACACTTCAATCCCCATAAAGGGGTGCAGGGGTGATAAAGTGACGCTAGGGGGTAACGAGGGGGTCTAATTCATTTTTGGTAGTCTTTTTCGTTCTTAGTGGTCCAGAAAACATAGGAATACTCACCCTACTCGACTTTGTATGAGAATTGACATGCACATACGTACTGTTCCTATTTATAAATATTTACAGGCTTTTACAATAAAAAAGTAGTTAGAAAATGAAGAACTGTAGTTTTAAAATTATAAATCCTACGCTCGCAAATTTTTTTTCTGATTTTCTTTTTTATTCGAAATTTGACAGAACTTCATTATTTTACATCCTTTTACGTGGCTTACTGCGTTGTTAATGTTATTTATTACAAATTAATTTTGCAAGAAAAAGCGTAGTTTTTGCAGAGCGTCAAATTGGTTTTTTTCAACGTTGATTTATAAAAACTTGTATAAATAAAATGTAAAATAATGAGATGTATCGAAATACACCAGAAATGTTATATACAAATTAAAAAATTAGTAGACTTTATAGAAAATGTAACCTGACGGGGTTATTTCTATAATCATCTATCTACAGTTATGACCAGTAGCATAACGAGTCTGGATTTCAAAAGAGTTTACTATTTAATTCTCGAAAGGGAGTTTATGATTATCATTGTACTTTAATTAATACGTGGGAACTTAGAAATGTTGTATGTTCAAAGAATGAATTTCAGGCACTTACCCTCTATTGCTTACGTAGATCCAGTGGCTGGCTATACAGGGTGACACTGAAGTTGAGAGAAACAAAAAGAAACTCCAAAACTTCCAGGAAGGGTTTTAATAACAAAACAAACAAACTACACAACGGCTGGAAAAACATTATTAATTACTTTCTTTACACGCGACAGCGTACCGAGATTCAGAGAATGCGCGATCTATAGCAAAATTTGAAATGACTTTATCCATTATTAAATTTAATTAATTAGCCCGAGACTCTAAAACGAAGTCGACTGCTCAATGTGGAACCTAAGGAAGAACTGACTTTTTCTCGTAGATCTCTCCTGAATTCGACACTTCGCTTCGACACGCCCATTTCTTGGGTCCAGACGTTTCTATTCTTATCTTACTGGCGGGAACCCTAGATATCGGGACGTTTTGGCATAACTATGCCATGTTAATAATTACCTGATTGACTGGACTTACATTTATATAAATAATTTTGAGACTAAACTTACAAATAACCCTAGCCTTCCTCTAATGACTCCGTGTAGCGATACGGGACGGATTAGTCAATCTCATTTAATATATCCTTATAGCTTGGAAAATCCGCCAAAAAACCAGCTATTTTACTTATTACTTTCTTTTCCTCACAACATTCTAACTTATTCTTGGAATTCCTACGTTCTTTGGAATGCATTTCGCGCGTTATTTGAAACATCGATTTTTCTCTTTATACCTGCCCAACACATGGCACCGACAGTTTAAGTGAACTTATTAAAAAATATTGCTAAATTCCGTGAAGCCTTCCCCGAAGGACGGTCTTGACGACGTTAACCTACTTGAGAGCCCTTAACTTTCGATAATTTGTGTTGACTGAAATATTTTACTTTTTGGCCCATCCGTTCCGAGAACTAACAAATAAATTACTACGCGTCCCGGCTTTTGTTACAGTTCGGGGGCATTTTGATATATTGTAAAATAATTTCTTGTCATTAGATTTCAGAAAAAAAATTGCTTCAACGATGTAAAGATCCCAAGTATATCAAATAACCTTTTTTTATGCAACGTTATGGATACATCGAACTAGTTCGATATACAGTAATGGAAAAAATTGAAGGAACAAAAATGCTTCATAATACTTTTAGTGATTTTTTAAAGGCGGTATCCTAGTGAGAAATGGTCGTGTCAAGATATTTTTACAAATAATTTTTTGAACTATGATTTTATCTAAGAATCAAAAGAAATATTACCATACTGTTTATTGCTATAGTTCCAAAATCGCTAACTGTGAATATCACGCCGAAAAAGATTATAATTTAGATTTTATTAAAAAATTTTTGGGAAAGTGCAAGTAGTTTTAAAAATATTTTTAATTTGAAACACTTTATTCATTTACAGATTATCTTAGGCAGCACAGCTCATCTAGAAAAATCACAAGAGTATGACCTCTTTCAGCCTTGGCTGGGAGAAGGGTTGCTGATCAGTAAAGGTAGATATATTTTGTATACATAATGTTTTACAATATCTTTTTTCAAATAGCAACATTTACAGTTAATATTTAAATTTGCATTTTGGCAGCTAACATTTGCAACCCAACAAGGGAAACGATTTATTACTTAAGTAACCAAAAGTAAGAAATGACATGTTAAATTTTAAATATCATTGTTATAGGTATTAAACGATACCATAAATTCAGGGGCCGCTAGAACATAAAAAAATGTTGAACGATTTCTGCCTATAGACCCAGTATCTATCTTCTTCTATCTTTACGATACAGGACGTCAAATGCGATCTTCTAAATCAAATTTTAGTCACTTTTCCAAAACATAATGTAACGTACAGAACTTACAAAATTTGGTACAGGTAAATTTTTTGAGGATTCTAAATACCTCAGCATTATTATTTTTTCTTTTTATTTTTTGGGTATTTGGCCACCTGCGAAAAATTTAAAAATTAATGAAATAAACCCTTGCCCCAAAAGGATCCGTCAAGGGTTACTTTTATGAAAATAGTTTCGCCAATCCAAAAAATCTCACACTGAAAGAAGCAGACAAATAAAAAATATAGTACAAAAAACACGTTATCTTGTATCCACCTGTGAATATTAGAATAGACGAACACAAAAACTATATTAAAAAAGATAATTTGAAAATAATAGGACGTTGTATATTTTATATAGTCCGGGAGTTAACGACAGATTTCATTACACCATTTCCGCAAGCTTCATTTTTTTTATGCGTTATGCGTGTAACGTACAACAGTAATATAAAAGTCTGCCACCGCATCCCCGCGACAGGGGGTTACAGGAGGGTTACAATTGCAGCAAAAAATCAAGAAAAAAAATTTATAGTCGCATACGCAAAACTTATTGTACGTATCAGTTGAAACATAAGAAGTTTAGAAAATATCGTCTGCCACCTAAATTCCACAACAAAACTCGTCTGCCACCCACATAAGTAAGCGCAAAAAAATATTTAAAAAATTTATATTCGCAAGGACGAAATTAATTGAAATGCTTCTTTTTATAGCAACAAACACGAAAATAATAGTCTGTTACTAATAAGATACAACAAAGGTCGTTTGCCAAGCTTATGAAGTTGCGCTCGGCAGACAGCGCGCGAGCACCGCGCTGCATCTTTATCGGCCTGAAAGACCGTGACAGACGATCGTTGTTGTTCTAAATGGTTGAACGGCTATCATAAAGTTGTTTTTTTTTGTTATACATTGTTATACATTATTAATTTAAAGTCTGATGGAGACCTTTTAGTGTAAAAATTAAGAATATATATTCGATAAAATGCTTTAAGATAAAAATAAGATATTACTATTTTACAATGACATTAGGAGACAATTATTTATTGATTTTCATTTTATTCTGTAGAAGAATCTATACAGGGTGAGTCATTAATAATGGTACACAGCTTAATGGCAGATTGTTAACGTCAAAATATAGCGATTGAGCCAAACATGCCTTAATCAATTGTTGCTCATTTTCGTTCTACAGGGTGTTAAAGTTGAAAAAATATTTTCTTTTTATATATATATTTTAAGTATGTATGGACCGATTGTTTTGGAAATTTGTAGATTTACGATTTTTGAGGTGGCAAATACGAATATGCAAATAGTGTTGGGGTTACGTCTAGGGGGCGCTAGTTGTACTGTCCTGTCAATGTAAAAATCTGTCTAACTTTTTGTATTTTACAATTTTGAATTTTTTAACTACAAATTATTGAACTACGTTCGATACTAAATAAAAAAGTTGAACTAGTTACAAATCGATAAACTAAACCGTTTTCAAGATACAGACGTTTTAAGTTTTTGAGAATCGGCGGGAATTAAATTAGAACATTAGCAGGTCTTAAGATACCAAGCCTAAATTAAGAATTAAGACAATCATTACAGCAATTAAAGATTTTATTATGCATATCTTAACAAATTATTAACTTCCAGCAACTTCAATGCACTTTCTTAGCCTTTTATTAAGGTATTCTCTTCTCTAAAAAATAACGACAAAGAAAAAACTACTTCTTAATCAAATTGAGTAGAAAACAATATGGTATTGTAGTGACAGCTGTCAATTTATTGTGTCCATGCCTACTACTTTGGAAAAAATAATTTTCTAATTTAATTCCCGTCGAATCTCAAAAACTTAAAATGTCTGTATCTCGAAAACAGTTGAGTTTATCGATTTGTAACAAGTATACCTTTTTTATTTAGAATTGAACGTAGTTCAATAATTTCTAGTTAAAAAATTCAAAATTGTAAAATATAAAAAGTTAGACATATTTTTACATTGACAGGACAGTACAACTAGCGCCCCCTAGACGTGACCCCAACACTATTTGCATATTCGTATTTGCCACCTCAAAAAACGTAAAACTACAAATTTTCAAAACAATCGGTCCATACATACTTAAAATATAGATAAAAAAAGAAAATATTTTTTCAACTTTAACACCCTGTAGAACGAAAATGAGCAACAATTGATTAAGGCATGTTTGGCTCAATCGCTATATTTTGACGTTAACAATCTGCCATTAAGCTGTGTACCATTATTAATGACACCCTGTATAGATTCTTCTACATAATAAAATGAAAATCAATAAATAATTATCTCCGAATGTCATTGTAAAACAGTAATATCTTATTTTTATCTTAAAGCATTTTATCGAATCAACATATTCTTAATTTTTACACTAAAAGGTCTCCATCAGACTTTAAATTAATAATGTAAAAAAACAACTTTATGATATTCGTTCAACCATTTAGAAAAACAACGATCGTCTTTCAGGCCGATAAAGATGCAGCGCGGTGCTCGCGCGCTGTCTGCCGAGCGCAACTTCATAAGCTTGGCAGACGACCTTTGTTGTATCTTATTAGAAACAGACTATTATTTTCGTGTTTGTTGCTATAAAAAGAAGCATTTCAATTAATTTTATCCTTGCGGATATAAATATTTTTTTGCGCTTACTTATATGGGTGGCAGACAAGTTTTGTTGTGGAATTTAGGTGGCAGATGATATTTTCTAAACTTCTTATGTTTCAACTGATATGTACAATAAGTTTCGCGTATGCGGCTATACATTTTTGTTGTTGATTTTTTGCTGTAATTGTAACCCTCCTGTAACCACCTGTCGCAGGGGTGCGTCGGCAGACGTTCATATTACTATTATATATTAAACACATAACACATACAAAAAAAATGAAGCTTGCGAAAATGACCCGGAAATTTCTGTCGTTAACTCCCGGATTAATAGTACAAATAGGGATATAATTGTCTTTTATGCCGTACTGACGACTATTTCAAACAATCAAAGTCTCTCCTGTACTTTAAAAACCATACCTACTCTTTATTAATCTTTTTCTACTTACTTTATAGTTTTTTTTCTCAAAAAAAAACACATCGTAAACACATAAAATTCACCAGTATACCTTAGGTATAACGTAAATCATTTTAGTTCCAATTCATTAGTATTTTGAAAAAAGGTTGACCGTTTAAGCGAAAAACAGAGAATTGAAATTTTAATTATGATTGGATGCGGAAATAAAATTCGTAGTCAACAGGAGATATGGGGTTATTTCACCATAAGTATCCAGACCAGAGAATTAGTCGAGTTACATTAAGTAAAGTATCCAAAAAGTTTGAAGAAACCGGAAGTATAAAAGATTTACCTGTATCAGGAAAGCGAAAATGACCGTCAAAATGTAATGCTCACTTCACAGAACTCTGAGTCTCAAATGTGGCATCCTTACAAATTTAATGTCTTACAAGAACTAAGGGCATATGACACAGACAGAAGATTACAGTTTTGAAAGGAAATTAGAAATTGATTTGAAAAACAACCCAACTTAAAAATCACATAATTTTCACTGACGAAACAACTTTTTGCTTAAACGGAACCTTGAACAAGCAAAATACTACGTTTTGACAGGCGACATCTATTTGGATTTATTGCGTTTTCAACTGATTCCAGTTCTATTATTAATTTTTCCTAACCCTAATAAGCACGATATACCTGCTGGTGATGTCTGGTGCCAACAAGATGGTGCCCCTCCACTCGCCTCGATGTAAAAAATTGCCTTGATGAATTTTTCCCAAAATCGATGGATAGTCAAAAAAGGGCCACTTGAATAGCCACCATGTCTGACTTAACCCCACTAGATTTTTTTTGTGGGGTTATCTAAAAAACAAAGTGTATGTAACAGACCAGATCAGACACTGTCGAAGGATTGAAAAATCGTATCAGAGAAATTCCAAATGTTATTCAAAATGCAATTGATAACTTTGAATAACGAAATGTTTATTGCGCAATGGTTAATAGGGGCCACTTTGTACATTTGCTGTAGTAAAATAAAAAGTAGTACCTACTAAATTATTGTTTTCATTCAATTCCTTCATTTTTGACAACTACAACAAAAAAGTATGTATAACCTTATATCGCTGAAATCGTCTTTAGAAGGGTTATCTATTTATACTATAAAATATACAGCGTCCGATTAAAAAAAATGTCGGTAATGTTATAGGTCTGGCTCAAAAAAATAGAAAATATTGCAGAAGAGTGACAATTTCTTTTTACTTATTGACCTGCTTCAGCGATTTTTTTTAATTTCAACTGGTAAAAATATAAATTTTGTTTCATCATTTTGGGACAAACTGTATATTTCGGAGTAGAATCCTGAAAGAATATATCAGTCAAATACGGTGGTTTTCAGTAATTTCAACAAGGGTATTAATTTTATGTAAAATTAAATTTTACATTATAACATACCACGTACACCATAAAAAGCCTAACATCAAAAAGTATTGTTTTATCACTGGACAATTGCTATAGCTAGCGACCTCTAGCTAGACGATCAAAACAGACAAAACATTAAACAATTTAACACCCATGAAAACTTACCTATACCAAATTCCAATACATTATACTATTTTTTGGAAAAGATTGACTCCTGTATCTCAAAAACCAAATACGTAGTCTTTTGATCTACAGAAAAAAATTATTTATCAATGTTCTTCTCTAAACTTGTGCTACCTTTTTTCTGTATGAACTAATTCATCACAAAACATGTTGGTTTTAACCTTTGAGAATTTATCATTTTCTGAAATTTTTAATTTTACCGAAATTTAATTGTCAACATGAAAGAAATAAAATCACTGTTCCTAGCAAAATTGCTTGTCATGTGGTTTGTGAAGGCTCTGTATAACTATTATACTCGATAGGACATAGTAAATTATAATATATAAAATTCATTTTATGTATTATTACGGTTGTTTTTGCAGTTTTCATTCTTTTTTAATGTCTCTATTTTGAAATTTAGAAAAAATGATTCACTATGAAATTTCATAAAATATCCATTCCGTAATATTTCTATGAGTGTTTAACTAAAACAGTTGCATTTTTTGCAACTGCACGAGTATTGAAATTTATGTAGATATTTTATTTTTTCAATATAAATTTTATCATCTAAAATTTATATTTATAATGAAACAATTTGTCTGGTGGTTGGGTAAAGTTTATTTATTTGTTTATGTAACGCTCTCTCAAAATTTCCTGAAGTACCTAGTAAATATAAAAGTGTTCAATTGATAGAACAATAAATTTGATTTAATCTAATATACTCGTAGGTAATATTTAATATTTTAGTACAAAAAATAATTAGTGGCGTTTCACATATAAAATTATCTTATAAATATGCTTATGCATTCGTAGGCGAAAAATGGAGGACGCATAGAAAAATGATAGCGCCTACTTTCCACTCATCGATATTAAAATCATTCATGCCAGTTTTCAATAAAAACGCGAATACTTTGCTGGAAAGTTTGAAAAAGGAAGAGGGAAAGGAGTTTGATGTGCATGATTATATGAGTGGTACTACTGTTGACACTCTATTAGGTAAGTAAAAACTTTAGTTGTTCAGTACAAAAAATATATGATTAAAGATACTTTCTTCAAGATACTTATATGTGTTTGACAGAAACAAAAATAGATAGATAGTTTAATTTCATGAGATCTGTCTATTGTTTTATTAGGTAAAACATAATTGCATTATTTCTTGTCAGAATTAGAAAATTATATCCATTAATTTTAGACTATTATAGAATTATTTGATTTATTTTGTTACTTCTTTCAGTCTTTCAATATTAATTTTATTTCACTGACTTTGTCCACCTGCTATGACATGTCATTGTTTATTTATAGGTTTTCTATACTTCTTAAATAATAATAATAATAATAATAATAATAATAATAATAATAATAATAATAATAATAATAANTAGATCCAAGTTGTAGTATGCCTCTGTGATTTGTTCTTCCAATTATAATTGTTACATAACATCATTAGAAAAAGTGCAGAAGAGGTTTCTTAAATCGGCTAGTTTCATCTTAGATGGAGTCTATCCACCTCTGAGATTTCCTCAAGATTTATTATTGGATAGGTTTGAGATACATAGTTTAATTAGGAGGAGGGTTATTTACTCGATAATGTTCTTGTACAAAATAGTCAACCACGATATTGATTGCAAATAAATTACCTTGTTCCTCGAATAAATGCCAGATCAAATAGTCTGTTCAGTCTTCCTTCTTCGCGCACAATCATGTTGCGGTGGTCTCATCAAATGCTTTTTAATTATCATAATATGGAGTATAGTCTAGACAGTTTCAATACTTCTATAGCACATATTAAAATAATATTCTATTGTCACAATTGGGTTTTCGGTTTTTAATTTCTTTTTTGTTTTTGTATTGCTTATGTTGTTTCTACTATGTTTTTATGATGATTTTTAGATATACTAATTCTTATGTGACTTTACCGTTTTGATTGATTGACTGACACTGTTTCCGATTAACGTTTGGTACTTTTATTTTTATTTTTACTTATCTTAAATGTTTGTGCTTATTGTGTTAATGTGTATTGATTGTGTAGCTGTAATATTCATCCTGTAATTGAGTTTCTCCCGTTGGGTGAATTAAAATTAAATAATAATAATATAATAATATCTCTACTCCTCATTCTAACTACGAGAGTTAGCCCAGAAGTCGGAGACTTGTGCGGGAGAGGAGGCGGCATATTATTATTAAGCAGGCCGCATTTGCGCCCAGGAACGACTTATGTTGGTAAGCCCTAACCACCATTCAGTGCAGGAATGAGGCAAACCTGGAAAACCTCATTAATTAGGGGGGTGGTCAAATGCAACCGGTGTCAATCTCTCACATTGACCCAAGCCAACATTCTTCCACGCTACCATACCTACACAGAGGGTGCCAATCCTCCGTACAAGCATAGCTAATCTACGGTCTACCGGTCGCAGGATTCGAAACCCGGGCAGATAGCACACATCAATTTAAGTACTGACGCCTTAAACCGTGCGGCTATCGACCGCTCAAAAAACAGTACTGAAGTTTGTATTCATACGCATTTCATTACTCATTCACCTCTTATATTTTTATGCTAGTCTACAAACAATTCAATGGCTTCCATGGACATTTTTAATATTCATTATACCAGAATTTAAAGTAACAGTTAAACCTCATAAATTTTAAACTCCATTGTCTTTATTTCACTTGTAATTGTACACGTAGATATACTTATTACGCAGACATAACGCAAAACAAGGAATAATTGTATATTTTAGGAAAATTATTAATGACGATGATAATAAGCAATCAACAATAATGTTTACAGATGTATCTTCTACGTATCTCATGCTACTCTGTTCTTCAATTTCTCAGCTATAGAACGGATTCTATTTCAAATCTTTCTAACTTTGTTTAGTTGAATTTACCACCTCTGAAAAAAACTTTAAATTACTTAAAAATAGAGCCTTGTGCCAGATCTCCAATACACTACACAAGCATACTCTTACAATCAGATTAACATCAAAATAGCTAGGTTATTACACAATATGCTGCATTATTTGAAGACTTTGTTTCGCCTAGAGCGACACTAGACTTACCTTCGTAGCATCTGCGAAACAGCAGGTTGCTCTCTGCCTGTTTGACTTTATTGAAGGTATTGTGCATTATGCAACACAATTGTACATTCATCATCACTCGAGGATTGCTTTTTAACATTATTATTATATTATTTGTTGAGAAAGCTATACTTTAGTTTAAAAATTTGATTTGAGATTTGATAAACATCTCATATACAGGTTGCTTTATAGGCATATGTTCTCCAAATATTTGTATTGTACGTAGGAGTACGTAATATAATTTATATTTGCTGTTTGACGTCTCTCCTAAGTTTAGACATTTCATTTTGGTTAAATTTATAGTAGACTCCCACAATTATGCTCTCTATGTTTTTTTCTAAAGAGTAATGTTTTCACTGAAGTGTATACAAGTCTAAACTACTAAAATACTAAATGTACTAATAATGTATGTAGTAATATAATGTACTAAATTAAAATGTAAACATTCTTAATAAATCTTTAGACAATTTTTAGTAACAATTTAATCTAAAATACAAAGTATTTAAAAACATAGTCACAATTCAACAGAAAATTATCGAATAATTAGCTATGAAATGTGTTTCACTCATGAAGAATTATTATCTGCTTTTTTTGGCACAAGGGATTATTTGTCTAAAGTTTTTTATTTTTACAAAGAAATACGATTATATTTTGGAAAATTTTAAAAATCTTAAATGCTTTTAAGAACAAGTCTTCCCTAAACAATTCAGTTTCAGTTTTCAAAATTTGAAGTGATTCAGCTAATTTTTGAGTGTTTAAAATTATTAAGACTTTCATTTACTTTATTGAGCGATATCTTAAAACCTGCTGCATTATAGAAACATATTTAAGGGGCCTAATGTGCCAAAGTTCATGCATGCATGCAATTCTTTTATAAAATGAAAAGATTTCAATTGTCAAGTTATCTGGTTGAGAAGTCTTATGAGATTCGCCCAGTATATTGACAACAATTAATCCTATTTAATTAGGTTATTCTAGAAGTAAGCAATGATTTTAATATGTTTTATACAAGTTTACGTTAGGGTTTGTCCTTTCGGTTACATTCTATTGCTTAAAAGAAAAAAAACTTCAGTTCATCCCCTCCTGTCAGCTGTATAATGTATAATCCATTGAACGTTATGTATTTTCCGGGACGACTGAGGCGTGGGTGTAAGATTTGTCGGTCGTACGGTGAACTGTGGGAATTTTTTACAGTAAGAGCAACGAGGACTACCGTTAAAGGTCCAAAGATAATAAATATACTTACTCCTATATTCGGTCTATATCGTAATTTTAGCCATTATGGAAGCTTCTAATATTTTATGTATTACAGAAACCGCAATGGGTGTTAAAAAGTCCGATGAAGATAATACTGGCTTCGAGTACGCTATGGCAGTCATGAAGTAAGTGGTTATACTATGGTTTAGTTTATTTTTATTGTCTTTTATAAATATTTTCAGAATGTGTAACATCCTTCACTTGAGACACTACAAATTTTGGTTGCGACCTGACTTTATATTCAAATTCACATCGATGTGGAGTGAGCAGAATTATTTGCTAAATGTCATCCATAGTTTAACGAGACAGGTAACATATTTTATTGGTAAATATAATGCTCCTCAGTTATACATATATTGTAATAAATTGTCCTAACTTTATACTTATCACTGGGTTCCCTTTATCAAGTAAAGTACCTACACCTATAATAAAAAATTAGCACATGCGCGTTTGTACCGAGAATGAAGAAACTGCAGAAACCTTTGCTGCTACTTTGGCACAAAGTGCAATTAATTCTCCCACAGATCTAAACTATCGAGCTGACTCAGTCATCGATAACAATTTAATTCAATTTTTAATTTACGTCCAATTCGGCGAATAGTCTGTCCGCACCTTTAAGTCAAATTATGTCCAAATCTATGGATTGTAGAGTACTACCTGGTGACTGGAAGAACGCATGATTTAAAAAACGATTGATAAACTTTGTAACTGCAACTGTAGACCCACTAGTCTAACAATTGTTTTTTGTAAGTTAAAGGAACGAATTATCTGTAGTGGTCTTGTCAAACTCTTCACGTATGAACATCGTACAAGGATTCTGGTGGACCTCTGGATGTAATTTATTTGGATTTTTCTCGTGTCTATGATAAAGTATCAATACGTAAAACGTTCTGTAAACTGGAGTACATTGGACGCTTGGAAAATTGCTGTCATGGTAGAATCTTTTCCTCGTAACAGGCAATTTACAGTGTGTATTTGTAACTGTCACTGAGAAATAGACGTTTTAAGTGATGTGTCGCAGGGTTCGGTGTTTATGTATCAGACCTTACAAAGGACTGAGCATCTGGGTCCTTTTCCTACGCTGATGACGTCAATTTCTTTGACATTATAAAATGACCTTAATCTCATTATTGGTTGGTGCTTGGAATTGTTACTACCTCTAAATGCTGTGTGATGCATACGTTCGAAAACAAACTCTAAAGCAAAGTTGAAGTCCATAACCTAAATACTGTATCACAGTATAACGACCTTAGCATTACCATCACAGAGTCATTCTCGTGGAGTGTCCATGTATCCAATATCGTAACAAGATGTAACCAGATAATTTATATGACTCGTTGATCTTTTCAAGACACGGTTACTGTGAATTATGAAGCAGGTCCGCATCTTGAATTTGCTGTAACCATATGGTCTCCTGATCTCTACGATAAAACCTACTGACCAGATGAAACATTCGTCCGCAATAGGAATGTGATAATATGAAGTCGTCATTTAAAATTAAAGAAACAACATTTTCACACCTGTACAAGACAGTATTTCTTGCCGAATCGTGTATTTGACCTGTGGAACTCAGTACTGAACCATGTGATCAATCCGATCAATTCCTTCAAATCTAGATTTAGTCACTGTATAAATTTGTCCCATACACAATTATATTAGGATTACGTTGTTTTTATAATCATGTTTAGATTTGTATATTTTGTAGCTGAATGCAGTAAGCTTCGATTTCCACTCTAGTCATCAATAACAACAATAACAACATACTAAAAATTCGCCAGTCTCAAAAGTGCAAACGTACAAACTAAATATGAAATAATTTAGGACCAATTAAGACAAAACTAATAAAGCTATCTGTATTTAAGGTAATAAAGCGCAAAAAGGAGAACTACTATTCAAGAGAATCGAAGGGGGAGCAAAGCTTATATAAGAAAGCACTAAGCACTTCAAGATACAATGAGAAAGAAGGTCAGATAGATGAAACCTCCTTCACTTACATTAAAGATGACTTGGACGAAAACGAAGAAAATGACATCGGTACTCTCGGTACGTAAGTATTAATACGGATTTAACAGAGTTTAATTTTAGGCGAAAAGAAAAGGTTGGCGTTTTTGGATTATATGATTGAAGTTAGTCACTCCAAAGGCAATACCTTGACAGATGACGAAATTAAAGAGGAAGTTGACACAATCATGTTTGAGGTAACATTTATATAAACCTAAAAATGTAAAACAAAATAATTACCTCATAAGACTAATAATATGATACTTACACAATTGTCAATTTTTTGATATGTATGATCTTAGGGGCACGATACAACTGCAGCTGCTTCTAGCTTTGTGCTCTCGATTCTCGGAGTTCACCAAGACATTCAAGAGAAAGTCTTCGAGGAACTGAAGGAAATATTCCAGGACAATCTTTCAAGGCCTATCACTTTCAATGATACAGTCCAAATGAAATATTTGGAGCGGGTGATTTTGGAAACCTTGAGGGTATATCCACCAGTACCAATTATAGGGAGAGTTTTAAAAGAAGATGTTACATTGGGTGGGTGTTTTTCTTTTTCGTGTATATATTTACTTTGTTTTTCTTTTTATAATTATAAAGCTTAAGACACAACACAATCATGTCGTGTTAACTCATGTTAACACATCATGTTCAGTACTGATTTTGACCAATTGTAACTAGGTTGGTGTAATTAAAGAAATGAAGAATGTTCCCTTCGAAATGGGTCAGCTATTTGATGAAGAAGGAATGCGAGATGGTATTGTAACAATGTTTCCATTTTACGACAAATCCATAAAGTAGTGGAGTTAAGTGAACGGCATTTAATCTGTCTGATGTTGATGAGCCAAGATCTTCTTCTGCATGCGTAATCATATAACAAATAAATAAATACAAAAATGCATATAACAAATACGTTCACAATAGCGAAATAGCAAATAAGTCTGACTCTAAATATTTCAAGAATTTATTAAGGTTATCAAAGCACAAGATCCACAAATTATTTTCAATAAAATTCTGAAACTGCTATAAATGGATGTTGTGTTCGTTGGGTAGATGTATGCGTCTATTTGCAATAATATAATACCTAGATATTTTAGTAAATTTCTTTCTTTTAACATTGTGTCCTAGGCTTTATTTTCATTTTTGACATATTCAACTCGAATTATGTGTTTTAGTTACTGGAAATTATACTGTTCCTGCTGGAACTACGATTGTTATTGGCACTATGGCCATACACAGAAACACTAGATATTACCCGGATGCTGGAAAATTCGACCCTGACAATTTCTTGCCCGAGAGATGCCAAAATCGACCTTATTATGCATTCATTCCTTTCAGCGCAGGTCCACGAAGTTGTGTTGGTAAGTGTATTTAAAAAAGCATATTTGGTTCTAAATTAATAGTATCTAACTTCCTAAATATGGTTAGGAAAAATAGAAATATGCAATTAATATTTTCTGCATTAAAAAATAAATCATCTAAAAAATAACACGAACGTAACTAATCATTTGCACTACAAACTAAGAGTAACAATTTTGATTTATAATTAAGCGGTAATATGCAAGAATAAATAGTAGATATATTACAAGAATCCACCTACCTTCCCAGTGGATTGGATCTTCCCATTAGACCATTTTGGTAAGAATGGAACACAAAACATTTTCCAGTCCGTTTCTTGTTTATTTCTGTGCGATGTTGAGGTCATCGGCCTATGACCCTCCAATCCTTACCAGTTTCTTTCTTCATAAAGCTGGTTCATAAAGGGCAAGAAATTTTAAATTTTCAGTTTTCTTCTGCGATACTCCTTCTACAAAGTCCATCCAAATATATTTTAATTTGCACAAAATGTCACATCCAAATTCAGCATTTTGATATATCCATATTTCCTAAAAGGGATATACAACGAGTGCGTTGAGTGCGATATCCAACTGCATTCGACTTGTGGACATTTGAAAGTTAAGATGTTATTGAAATACTTAGAATGAGGTATCTCTAGTTTCTTGGGCGAGTTAGAGTCTCGAATCGGGAATGACACCTACTTCCCAACTTTTTTGGTTGAGTTGTTTTTGGTCTCCTTGTACACTGGGTCTTGTAGTAAAATTCATTACTTCATAATAATTCAATTATAGCTGTATAAAGACATGCAGCTCGATGCAGTTGTTAAAATACAAATCAATAACTACAGAACTTGATCACAATACAATTCTATGGGAACACATGTGTGTTCATTCTCCCACGGTTATTTGATGGCTTTAAATTTTCCAGTAAGATTTGGTTTCGGGGAATTGGAGGTTCATAAAAACTCAAAAATAAACGAACCCAAAGGAGGACGGTATATTTCTCGATATTTTTTAAGAAGTCTAAACCGACAGTGTTAAACAGTCGGAAAATTGTTCAACTACTTTATTCATGTTACTAACACTAATAGGAAACATTTCAATCACTAACGGTGTTATTTGATTTTTTCAAAACTCCAATTATATATTTAGTGTTTCGACTACGATTTCAATTAAACCTCAAGTAATTCATTATTTCCAAAATTATCCAAAACAGTTTTATCTTGATAACGTTCTTTAATTTATTGGTCATTATTTTTTTAGCTATAGAGAGGTTGCAAATTAAAATTAAACAAATTATAGTTTTAATTAGCTTATTTGAGCATGATGTAAACTCTACCATGTTTCTGTTTCAGGGCGGAAATACGCAATGTTAAAATTGAAGGTAATCCTCGCAAGTGTTTTGCGTAAATACAGAACCATTTCCTTGTTGAAAGAAGAAGATTTTAAGTTGCAGGCAGATATTATTCTAAAGAGGGAGGAGGGTTTTAAAATTAAAATAGAGGAAAGACGCACATAAAATATTTTATTTATTGTTTGTACTATTAATGAGTAGCTATTTGTTAATTATTAATGATCAATTAAAATAAGTCATCATAAATATGGACAATTGTTATTTCTGCTTTTGTATTAAAAACGAATAAAGAAATTAACTTTTTGCGTTTATTTTAAAGGTACTAAATTATTTCAATTCTAATAATATATTTTATATAAGACGTATACTTTTGTCAAATGGTACTAATTTCTAATCAAAAATGATTCAGCTTTACATTCAATTTTGAAAGTAAGAAAACATGGAGAAGTCTAGAATTAAAAAAAAAATTAGTTAGCTCCTTATAAAATTTAAATTGATGACATTTTAATTTGGGATAAAAAATATAATCTTTGGTTTGGATCTAGAGAAAAAAGCCCACGAAAAAAGGCTATATGAAAAAATTACATAATAGTGTTGACTATCGTTTACGTAGAAAATAGACTAACTATAATTTGTGTCGCATATTACTAACGAAATTTAAAGCGCTATATTTAATTCTACTGCTGTCAAATATGTTAACTTTAGTATAAAATTTCAAATGAACTCAAATCAATGTCAAAAATCTACATATACAAATATCTTTATTATAATGGTATTAGGTAAGCTAATAAAAATATCCTAAAAAGTCCTACCAGATGAAGAACATTGACTTCACTATTTGATAGTATATATACAGGGTGAGTGGAAAGAATTGCACCATACTCCTGGTATATATTTCAAAATAATAAGAAACAACTCAAACGTTTATGAGATTTTCATTTGTTTTCAAGTTATAGCGTAATTACATATTTTAAAGATTGGAGATCAGAGTATGTCATGTTCCAAGTTCATAAGCCTATCCTACATAGACCTAGTAAACTAGTTTATAAGGTTTATGTTCAAATGCATGCTATTTGTCAGTGTCATATTTGATTACACGATCAAAGTATTACAATGCCAAGTACTTATTCAAATTTAGAATATGCAAATATGGTGTTTGTTTACGGTTTTTGTAACGGAAAGGCCAATGCTGCTGTTGAATAAACGGTTTCCACATCTCAGATGTCCTGATAAAAATGTATTTATCAGAGTTTTCTACAAACCGTGCGACACCGGAAAGCTTCCCAGTGCTAGGTATAACATCTGAATGAGCTCATCGACAAGGTTTAGAAAAAGTAGAAAATATTGTGGGTCCTGTGGAAGATGATGCAACTATCAGCCTACGAAGAATTGCTATTCAATAATTGGACATTCCACAAAAAAGTAATAATTATTCCCAACCAAGGTGAGAACAAGATGCCAAGAACGTCTGCATATTGTGGGAGAAACATAGGATGAAAGTTAACTAATCCAATACATGAAATAAAAACACAATGTTCTGATAAAATATTTAATAAAATCTAATATACCCAACAATAAACAAATATAAATCGTAGAATTGTTGCATTAAATTTTCCTGTAATAATTTTTTTTTGTGGAACTATACGAAAATACCTTTTCTTCGTTATTATAATTGTTACAGATTTTTTTACAAAATTGAGGGCCACAACAATTGTATTTCAAAAAGGGCGGTAATTTATTTCAAATCAAATATGCAAATTATAACAATACCAACCAGTATCAATTTGAATATACAATATATTTAACTTATCCGCATTATAAACAATAGGTAAGTAGTCTATTCAAAATTAATCTCGTAAATGGTATGTACGAGCATGAATTAGTATAATTTTCTTAAACATATTATTAAGGAATATGAATTCCTCAATTATTCATTAGATTAGAGATATAACTTCTATTAATAAATTAATAAACTTGTAGGTTCATAGATACACACAAGATTCTATCATACCATTGCCTAATTTCGACCTTTCAAGCAAAATGTTTAAAGGTAAGATAAACGTAAAGTTACAGCTGAGTTTCAAATAATATTTTTAGGGATTTCTAAAAAGGTCTTGAATACAAGCGATAGTATAAAGATATGTGTATGGTTTCCAAAGTTGCTTCTAAATTCAGTGTGTATGTGGCCAGGTCAAATAAATGATATACTTCAAGGTTTCGCTTTCTGGTCAATTATGGCAGTTTGCACGTTTGTTGAATATGGTTTATACAATTTCATTGCTAATAACTTCGAAAACTTTAATGAAAGCTTTACTGCCATTAGTTTTTTCTCTACAACTTTGCAGGTATTCACAAATATATTGGGTTGGGGAATAAGTATAACGTCCATTTTTTTTAAGATCTTCAGTTTTTATCTTCACAATTATTAACAGGCTAATCACTGATATTTATGACCTCCTCCCAACGTTCAATAAGTTTCTCGATGCCTTTTCTGCAGAAATCGGTTTTGACTAGAAAAACTCATCCATTTAACTCATTGGCGTAAAAAAAGTTTGATAAGGAGTGAAAGAGGTGAAAATCGGAAGGCGCGAAATCGCGAAAGTAAGGCGAGTTGGGCGGAACTTCCCAATTCAACTCCCGAATGGCCCTTTTGGTCGTATTGGTGATATGTGGTCGGGCATTGTCATGATGCACGCATGTCGTATCGTCGATCAGGTCGTTTGTGACGGTGTTTGGGGAAACCGCCACAAAACTGGGGGTAGTTCCAAAATTTTGGGTGACTATAGTGGACGAAGGGGACGGATAATATCCACAATAGGGGTTGGCAGCTAGCTTCAGTGAAGACGGGCTGGGTAAAAAGCATAAAATCAAAAATTTTTAAGGCACCACCCGTTTTTGCAACCCTATAAGATGGTGGATTTTATTCGCCACAGTGCCTTCATTGTTACTATACAAAAAGAAAAAACCGGGAAAAAGGCAGGTCCACTAAAAATGATACCAAATACTTCTGAACTAGGTGTATATTACTATAAATTATTAAAATTGTCAGGGTATGACAAGTGATCGGTTCACTTCCTGCACCAGTGGAACGCATCTGGTGCCTAGCGGGTAAATGTTACTGTTCACTGGCTGATGACTGACCGCCGAGTCAACCGTGTTTTGTGGCCGATGGCTGAGTAGGTTAAATGCGAGAATGATATTAAATCTACTATTTGTTGTTCTATGGTTGACTGTCGGTAGCGTCAAATTTGGGTTATGTTATATTGCATAACGCAAAATACCCAACAAAACCAGATAAAAGTATTATAGAGTATACAATGAAATATCGGGTAAATAACCAACCGAATGGTACCTTTACTACAGCGCTGTACTACAGGCTTACACAGGTAACCCCCACGATTTGTTGAATATAGCATATAACAAGTAATGACATCTGAAAGGTTACTTATAATCTAAGTTGTCTTAGGAATGCCTTGTTGGGTTGTACATAACTCTAAAGAAGTATGGCATCCTAAACCAATTTATACCACAAGAGTGAGGCTCTTGACGAAGGTATACAAACAAAGCAAACATAAGCAGATCTTAAAACTACATTCTAACATGCTAAATCTTATAGCTAGTCTTATCTGTGAGAGTGGTGTGTAGCACAGTTACACATGTCGAATTCCTCTGGAGCGATAAATTTCTATCTGGGTGAAACGGACGCATAACATTGTCTTTCGAGGATGAAGCTCTGGTCTCATTCGCGTTTTTTGGGGCTTATCCATTCTTTCCGCCGTTTTAAATTCACTTACAGACACCATTTTTCAACACCAGTGACAATACGATGAAGAAAACGTTCCTTATAATCACGTGTTGATCGACGATGACAGAGCAAACCAACGGCAATTGCGGAGCGTTGATTCTTATCGTTTTTTTTTTCAAAACGTTTGGAACACTAGGTCTTTAAACTTTTCCCAACGAATGTAGGTGGTTTTTTACTGTTTTGAAATCACATCCCATCTTTTGTGCCAATTCTCTTGTTGATTGTCTTGGATTTTTGTGAAGAAGTCGATTCAATTGCGCTTCATCAAATTCAACAGGGCGTCCGGAACAATTCATGTCTTTAAGATTGAAAACACTTTCTCTGAAACGCGAAACTCATCGGCGGGCCGTTCGTTCATTTATCACAGCATCACCATATACGCCGCTTTCCCGAGCAGTTTTAGCGTTTTCCCTGTCTCGATCAAAAACGAAAACAACCAAGTGCCGAAAATGATCAACTTGGCTTTCCGTTTAAAATGAACGAAACTTCACAAAAGTTAAATCTAACGAAGCAACCAAAAACACAATTTTATAGAGCAATAAGTCCTCTTTCCAATGACACGAGTCAATTTAACAGTGCATTTAATTTTCATGTGATTTAAAGAAAACAGTCATTACTTATTCCCTAACCTATTAAAAATCATGTTTTACTCTCAACAACCCGTTTATAATTTCATTTATTTTAGGTTATAGTAAAAGGATCTGTATTTTATTATTACCTAAACACTGCCAAACGGATTTCGGATGTCATTCTTTACAAGTTTTGGCCATCCAATCTGTTAGGCAAAGAAGTTGAGAGTTCCTTAAAAAGATATTACCAGATTCTATTGATTGGTATGATGTCCATATACTTTAACGGTTCTTTTTTCTCCATTGTATTTATCCTTACTCCATTGTTCAAAGAAACGAGGCAGACACCTTACAAAACGGTTTATCCGTTTGAATACAGCGACGGTCCCAAATTCGAAATAATGTACTTAGTGCAGAGCTTTACCAATTTTTACGTTGTTCTGGGAGTCGTAATTGGAGTGGATACTTTGTTCATGGCTGTGTGCTGTAACATCACTGCCCAGTATCGACTGTTGAAAAACGCATTTTTGAAATTGGGTACAGATGAGGTTAAAGAATTAAACTCTAAGCTGAGTACACTATGTGCCGAATCTGACACCTCGGAAAGAAATACGACAGAGGAGAAAAAATTCCTTATTCGATGTATTAAGCATCATCAGTTATTATTAAGGTACCAATTTTTATTAAATAGATGTTTACTGGAATATGAGAAACTGTAATGTTTTTGGATATGGTCTTATGTGATTCAAGTGTAAATAGATAAATAAACTAAAAATTAGTGTTCTTAAGAAATTTTGATTATGACTAACACCTCTTATTACTAGTTTCTTAAGGACGACTAGACCATTAGACGACTTACCCTTAATTATTTCATGGAGATGGAGAAAATACAATTGGTTATTATTTAAATATGTTATTTATTGCCAACTACCATTTTAATATTATGTAGTTCCCGATTTAATGTTTCCACATATTTATCTAGTTACATGATTACTTTAATGAAACCATTATTAGTTTCATGTAAAGGTAAAATTAGCACAATTAATATTATTATGGTTAAGAATCTTATAGATAAATAGTCACATTTGTAAAGAAGGACCATGGATCGATTAATCAGAATTTATTTTAGAACTATAGAAGACGTTGAAACAGTGTACAGTGTTATTGGCTTCTTTCAACTTGGTTTCAGCATTGTTTCCATCTGCTTGTCTAGTTTTGTACTAACAACGGTAAGTTCATAAGCTCTTAAGTATGTACACAATAGTGAACATATGAAGTAATTAAAAAAATAAAACTAGCAATACTGATTTTATTAACTATTTGCCATTGAAGCATGTTTTCCTTCCTAAAGTTCATTTTTTAGAATCAATAAACTTCTTTTCAATAGAAATTTGAAATTAAACTGCAGTTAACACATAGAGTGTATTTTTAAAATAATCTACTACCTATACAGGGTGTTTCAGTTCGAGTGAATCAAACTTTAACCACAAATAGAACTCCGTAAATAATTCAGAATTGCCTTATAAAGCAAGGGTCTAAGTCTCACTGTTTTCATTGTATAGGGCCGTATTGGTCGGTTTTTAAAATGATTTTTTTTATGAAATCTTTGATATGAATATACCGAATTGATTCAAATTTGGTGTGGTGTTAACATTTACATAAGTGCATAATTTACTGTAAAATTTACAAATTTTTGTAGGTCAGTGGCGTAGAAATGGGTAGTAAATTGGTTTTTTTACTCCAACTTCTACACCAATGATCTAATATAATCATTTGAGATTCATTTTTAGATTTCGTGGACCATTCTACATAAAAAAGGTATACTTGTTGAAAATCGGTATAGTGTGTCGTTTTACCAAAAATCTCAGTTGAATGGGAGACTGTTCTGATAAAAAATTTAGTTTCGTAAAGAGAGGAAATAAATTAACCTTAGAATTCAAAACAATATTAAATAATGTCTTTACATCGGCAAAACGACTAGTAAATTTTAAATATAATCCCTTGTGTATTATTTATTGCATATGTAATGTGGTGAATTCCTTCTTTGAGCTCATTTTTTTATTGCGCTGCAATGCGGTGACAACATGTTCAATGGCATCTACTCTAAAATTTCATGTGTGTCATTCTAAAGCAATTATAGGTATCCCTGCTCATTCAACGGTCCGTTTGTTTAAAACAGATATTATTCCTTTAAAAAGAATCCAAACTGATATTTATTTTATGTAAAAGCAGTGGCGGACCAATTTTTTCTTTAGAAATATCCATTACCGTGCTAGTACGGACCCCACTGGCAAAACTAAAAATAATGTTTTACATTACAAAACATGCTCTTTCAATGGTAGTTAACGTTTACAAAATTTAATTGAAATATCTTTAGCCGTTTGTCAATAATTAATAAATTTGATTTTTTTAAACCAATCTTGAACACCCTGTATTTCCTTAACGAAGGATTTTTCGAATATAGTTTATATATCAAACTCATATTATTTTTTTAATCTCTATCGGTCCCTGAAGTTTCTGCATCGGAAACTGGACCACCCTGTATAGGTAGTTATATCGATATACTAAAATTTATTATATTATTTACAATAGTTTGTATTTTACTTCTATAACGTTTTTACAAAACATGCAAATCTTTCTTTGTAAATCTAACTTTTATTTCTTAATATCCGATGTATAATTAAATAACAATCGAGTAGTCTCGATTAACTACTTGAGATAAAATAAATACTTGACTTAGCATTCGATCACTATTATTTGACTTTTCTTGAATTAAACTTGATTTCTACTCGTCAGTATTCCTTCTGGCAGAACTTACATAATCTCGGCCAATATTACAATAAGTAAATATTTCAAAAGTTCAATATGCATTATTATTAATTTATGTATTTCTTTAAATTTCAGAAAAATTTGGAATTTAGTCAATTGGTAAATATCACAATTTTCTTATCAGGAAATATAGTGCAACTATTCTGTTATTGCTCAGTGGCTACTGAAGTAAATTTTGAGGTACATAATTCCTTAAATGACTTACTCATAGTTTTCATTTTCCTTCATTTTAGATGGACAATTTATCACAATATATTTTTTCAAGTTACTGGTACCAAGCAGACTTTGTAAATTTTAAAAGAGATATTTTATTTGTTATAAAGAAATCTCAAGAAGTACAAAAAATTACTGCACTTAAATTGTTTCCGCTGAACTATAACACCTTCATTCAGGTAACTTTTTCAACCTACAATGAGATTTTTCAATTTAACATTTTTTTTCTAGGTCTTGAGAGTTTCGTTTTCATTTTATACACTCCTGTCTAACATTACAGTAAAATAGACGTGATGGGAAAATGTTGTATTACAATCTTTTACTCTCTATATCGTAGATGTTTGCTGTGTCAATTTTGCAAGAAATACTTCGCACTTACTGCATATTATATGTAGTCTCTAGTTGTTTATAAATATTTTATTTCAATATAGCAGCATATAAATGCGTTCTTATTTATTTTCAAACAAATCCAAAGTATATATTCCAAAAAAGAGCTTAGCTTTATATAAAAATTTCTTTTAAAATTATAAATTTGGGGAAATTTCACATTTTTTTCTTTTCTTATTAATTCCTTTCATCGTAAAAAGTCAATTGCCACATAAATTTTAAATTTTTAATTAATAGTTTTTCTATAAAAAAATATATAAATTCAAAATAATTCTCTATGCACTAAAACGCAGTCTTAAACAAAGACGGCTGACTTTTACGTCACGATCCGGTATCGGTCCAAATTAAACGAGTCGTGTAGAGTCGTGTTCTGTAGTCTGTCTCATTCTTACTCATTTGTGTTGGAAAAATCGGAGACTACGTTTACTTAAAAAAGCAAAAAATGTGTAATTAATATCAACTAATTTCAAGTGTTGGGATTTATGAAGTCAAGTTATACAAAATATGTTCATATTTTTCTTCCATAATACGGTTCATAATATACCCTGTGTTCAAAAAGTTCGGAACCCCCCTCTATCTCAGAAAATACTGCTCAAACAAAAAAATGATTAGGGCAAATGTTGCAGGGTTTTGAGTGAGCAATCCAACGGTGACCTTGACCTTGATCTTGAATTCTTATTCTTAACTGCGGAAATTGAGTGAGCGTAACATTAAAAAAATGACCTAGACCATGTCTTTGACCATGAGCGAAAGGTAACTGTAACGTCAAATGTAAGCAAAGAACTTAAGTTTCATAATGCTCTTACGAAAAAAATTTAACGGCAAAAATTTTCTTAGCTATCGGATGGCGATATTGTTATGACCTCGGCCTAAACGACCTCCAAGTTACAGTCAAAGTCATCGTTTGGTTGCTCACTTTTGACCCTAACATCTCGATAATTTTTCCACTGATGAGAACCTTCGGAGATAGACTGTTGGAAATACTGTGACCATTTCTGGGGTCAAAAATATACGGTTCCATTTAAAATTTTCAGATTGACCTCTAAATTACTTTGAAGGTCATGGTCAAGGTCACATTCGAACGTAAAATTTTGCGTTCTTACCATTTCCTGGGTCAAAAGTATACGGTTTCATTTAAAATTTTCAACTTGACCCCAAAATGACCTTCGAGGTCATGGTCAAGGTAACCGTTGGATTGCTCACTCAAAACCCAGCAACTTTTGTCCTAATCATTTTTTTGTTTGAGCAGTATTTTCTGAGATAGAGGGGGGATTCCAAACTTTTTGAACACTCTGTATAAAGTTGAAAGGTAAATTAAAAATGCGTGACTATCCACAAAGCAAGAGTACCTACTGAGACTTTGATGCTCTGTTGATTTTGTTTTCAACAAATTTGGCAACATTGCATTCAAGGCCAAGGCGTTGGGAGCAGAACACGTGCCCATTTGTATGAGTCAGTTGAGAACTGTTGTTGTGGTAGCTTGTTGAAATGAGTGCCACTATTTCGAATTCCGCTAGCTGCTAGATGAGGAGCGTAATCTAGTATCTTCTTGCAAAGGGAAAGCGGCCATTCCAGATTTTTAATGAAATCAAATGATGTTTATGGAACGAAAATACAATAAATGCAATGGGGGCATCCGTCTTCATCATCTTCCAAAAAATTCAGAACCGTAACATCATAAACAACCCCGCTCACAGCCTTGACCTTCTTAGTTTCAAATTTTCCATGATGTTTATGGGTGAAAAATGGTTTTCTACCGACGATTAAGTTCACAGTGCTGTGAAACAATGGACCCGAGAGGCAGCGGAAGATTATTTTGAATTATATTGAGGTTGAAAGTAACGTACGTCGGAAAATGGTATTTGATCTACCTTTCTGAATATGTAAATTTTTCATAAATATAGTGCCGTTTCGATTTAAAAAAAATCTTTCATTTTATGGATTGCCTCATAGCTTCTTCAAAATAGCTTATTACATAATAGAACTCTGAAGAAATAAGTCCCTGGAATATTCTGCCCAATACTCATATACAGCGTTTTCTGAAAAACATTAGTATAAATTCAGGTCCTGACAGAATTTAAAAAAATATTAGTTTGTTCCTATGAACCATGGGCGCATTTTCCGTTTTCAAGATACAGGGCTTTGAAAATAATTTTTTAGATTCTAGTTTCAGTCCAATCTTTCAAAAAATTCGACCGAATAAATAGAAATTTTGTTATGTGGGTTTCTGGGGATCTTAAATGCTCTGGAGTTATTAATTTTTGGCTGTATCATACAGGGCATTCAGTGCAGTACTCCTCGAGAACATTTTAGGTCCTAACTTTTTTTAGTTAAATTTGTTTGCCTCTTTTTTCACTTGCTGTTTTGGCAAATTGTATTATTAACAAAAAAGGTACTCTCGTAAGAAGTGCTAAAATTTGCCCGTTTTCGAGATAAACCAGGCATAGTAAACCAAAGTCAAGCAGCTAGTATCCCAAATTGTTACTAGTGCACTGAATGCCCTGTATGATATAGCCAAAAANAAGAGTACCTACTGAGACTTTGATGCTCTGTTGATTTTGTTTTCAACAAATTTGGCAACATTGCATTCAAGGCCAAGGCGTTGGGAGCAGAACACGTGCCCATTTGTATGAGTCAGTTGAGAACTGTTGTTGTGGTAGCTTGTTGAAATGAGTGCCACTATTTCGAATTCCGCCAGCTGCTAGATGAGGAGCGTAATCTAGTATCTTCTTGCAAAGGGAAAGCGGCCATTCCAGATTTTTAATGAAATCAAATGATGTTTATGGGACGAAAATACAATAAATGCAATGGGGACATCCGTCTTCATCATCTTCCAAAAAATTCAGAACCGTAACATCATAAACAACCCCGCTCACAGCCTTGACCTTCTTAGTTTCAAATTTTCCATGAAGATGTTTATTTCAGAGCATTTAGCATCCCCAGAAACCCCACATAACAAATTTTCAGTTTATTTGGTCGAATTTTGTGGAAGATAGGACGGAAACTAGATTCTAAAAAATTTTTTTCAACGACCTGTATCTTGAAAACGAAAAATGATACGTCCATGGTTCATAGGAACAAATTGTAATATTTTTTGAAATTCTATCAGTCCCTGAATGTATGCGAATGTTTTTCAGAACACCCTGTAGATAATGACTAATGAATTAATTATTACACACAAATTCATACTTAACAATGGAAAATAGTAGGAAATTATAACAGCTTGAAATTAAATACGCTTTGATAATAAAAATTGTGATCCTTTAAATATATATCTTAAAGAAAAACGTTTCTCCTTAAATATGTAAAAGTTACTTTAATAATAGTTGCTAAAGTATTTCGCTCCCAGAAAATAACACAGCGCCACTGACAAAAGAGGGTTAAACAGTGGACCAGACTAGAACATCCTATAATAGGACTGTTCCAACAAGAGTCAGGGATTGGTTCCCAACCTTTCAAAATGTTTGGCCAGCTAAGTTCTAAATGTGTCTTCACTGAATATATCGCAGGAATTAGTTGGATGCACATTTCAAACGGTTCGGAACCAATTCCTGACTCATGTTGGAACAGACTTAATATATCCACTCAATCCGAATCTAAAGTCAGAAGTTCCGGATCAGTTCGTGTTTTGACCCTAACATCAAGAATCTTCCTAGAGAGTAGTTTTCAGATTTCAAATAGACTTAAGTAGCTTATGATTGGAAAAATATTGGAATTCATGATCTAACTGCACCATAAACCCATAACCTGTTATGTGAACGATTTTGATCGCAAAAACTCACGGGTTTATGGAATCCTGACAACTCACAGTCATCTGGTTTCCGACCCCTGATGTATAAGATCCATGTTCCCCAGAGTTTCGTAGTTATACATTCTCGCATACCGCGGGTTACGCAGTTACGAGGATATGGGGTCAAGAAACCCTTCCAGCCCACAGTCACATGACTGTGAAATTACGTAGTTTCGAACCCCTGATGTATAAGATCCATGTTACCACTGAGCTTCGTGGTTCTACATCCTCGCACATAACGGGTTATCGGGTTACGAGGTTATGGGGTCACGGGGTAGTGAAGCTACGGTTTTATGGGGGGTATGGTGTAATGAGATCGTGAATTTGAATGTTTTTTCAATCCCTACTACACTAGTCGATTTGAAATCTCCAAAACTGCTTTATAGAGGAGTGTCTTGATTTTAGAGTCAAAATACGAACTGGAAATCTTGACTGTAGATTTGGATTCAGCGAATCAAGGTATTACGGGATAAAGGTGTATTGTCCACGAACCAGCTCACTTTCTTTTGTGACACTATTGTTACGAGTATTCTTGAATTTTCTTGAAAAATTCAAAGGGAGTAAAATATTTGACAATTATTTTTACACTTATAACGTGTATTCAGTATTTGATTCAGGTACTTAATACATACACTTAAAACCCTGTAACTTTTAAGTGAATTATTTTTAGACTAAGGTAAGACCACTGTTTTTTGGGACAGGGTGTATTTTTATATCAATGAAACAATGCTTCATTCCTATTATACATTATATTATATTTTAATAAATTCATTACTGATACGTCGGACGAGATATCCTAGATCTAATTGTAATTATGTAAAGTATAGAAAGAGGAATAATTTTTAAAGATCCTTTGTTAGACACTCGAAGTATCAAAGCCCAGACACTCAAATATTTAAATGAATATTTCAGGACTTGTTATTAATGAGGAATAATATGGAAAGTTTGCTACTAGAGAGCCATCTGAGGAATCGCTAAGCCCTCCTCAAGTTATTTTATAACTTTTGGGGAATTTCATCGATGTTTGAAACCTTATTGAAACTATGCAGTAACTATCAAAGATAATTTGTTTTATAAGAACTTAATTTTAATATTCAATGGATATATATTA